TTTCACACACTGCCAGCACTACCTATTACCAAATTGCAGCTCTTTAACTTCTTTAGTCCAAGGGAAAAAGGAAGCAGAAGCAGCAGCAAAAGAGGCAGCAGAAGCAGCAGCTGCTGCTGAAGCGGCTGCCGGTCTAAGGGGTGACGGAGAAGCAGAAGAAGAAGAACCCAACGATGTGGAGACAGTGGGACCGGGAAACAAAAGGAGAAGGCAGAAAACCAAGGGAAGATCCGCAGCTCAAGAGGAAATCACTGACCAGGATCCTGCTCCTCAGATGTATAGCCACGTGTTTTGTTGGGTTGTGCTATTGAAGTGTGTTTCGTGTTCAGCAAAATGCTTTGCAAGGCATTGTTGCAATATCTGTGCAGCACCAGCTGGCCTACAGATTGCAACTTGCATATAGAGCCAGAAGTAGCGGGCCTGTCGAACTACATGTTTCAAACCAAGTGTTCTATTGCTTGCTTGGCTCGATTGCGCAAATCAGCAATCAAGAAGGTGCTGGAGGCAAGGAGTGAGAAAAACATTTTATTTTGCTGCTTGCTGGCATGCAGCAGATGTCAGCTGTTTGTTCCAGCAGATGTCAGCTGTTTGTTCCTTTAATTTGCTGGCAGGAGATTCCAGGACTTCCTGACGACACTTTCAAAAGTTTGAAAAAGTCGACGACGGCCAAGCTCAATTCGTTCACTTCTGAGTTTGATGACATCATCAAGCGCCATCCACAAAAAGTCAGGCAGCAGCGATCAGAAGATCTCCCAGGAAAGCTTCTTGGATTTGACATTCACATAGATCTTGAGATTGAGAAGTCCTTGGCAAGAGAAGCTGCTCCTGGTGCGGCCATTCAAACTATGGACCGCGATGAACTTGCGCACTTGTTATCTGGATATGCTGAGTAACTGATTGTTTGGTGTTGCGCTGTGTTTGCCTATGTATGTGTTGTATTTTAATGTTATATAAATGGTATGCTCCATGGACTCCATGGTTTATCTTGCAAGTCCCAACACGACGCAACCTGAGGATGAGCGAATTGGGGCATAGTGAAGAAGACAAAGTAAAAAACAAGATGCGTGTAGATGGTGTCACCTTTGCTGGATTTGCTCGAGGCGCCAACTTTGCAGGATTGCTTCCCGGTGGATTTGGCTGCACGCTATACCAAATGTCAGGCAATCGAGCTATCGTTGTGGCTGACCTTGAGGAAGTGCGCGACATGTACTTGGACAGCGGCATTGATGATGAAAAGTTTAAGTGCCACGGTCTCCATGACATTGTGGCGTGGTTTTCCAACCTTTGCGATAGTGAGGAGCCAGAGAATGTACTGGGCAGAATGTGTTCTGTGAAAGGAGGGTTCTTGCTGCCAGGTGACTGCTTGTTCATCCCACCATGCTCCATTGTGGTTGAAAAGAGCTTGCTGGACACCAATATGTCACTGAGAGCATTGAATACGTGCATTACCTCCCGGACTTATACTTTGTACCGTCTCTACAGCACAGTCTATCCAGCGTTCCTTGCTCTCGAATAGTTCATGGATTGATCGCTTCCTTTGTCCTTTGTTCATTGATTGCCGTTCAAATACGATTCATACAAGCTTTGTTTACTGTTGTATTATCGACTTAACTTAGGGATCTATTTGCTCGAGCCCTGCGGGAGATGCTGAAGAAGATTGAACACCCATGCAAGATCGAGTTGTCAGATCTTCCCCAACCGTCAATCCCGAAGCGGCCTGAAGATGGTGAAGATGTGGCAGTGAGGCAACAAGATGGTACCATACAAATCCAGACTGTGGCTTCTTTGGAACAGGCGGAACAGGCCATGTGAATATGTAGAACAAAATGTTCAAATCTACTATCATTATTGAAAGATTGATTGAAAACAAAATCTTGACAAGGTACCAGCGCCACCAGATGTTAATGGTCTTTTGGCATTGGAGGATGGCAGTGTCAGTGGGCCCCACGATGGATCAGAGGAGGCTGATGATTGATGAACGTTTGCTTTTCCTTGTTTTCATGATGAGTCTGAGTCTTGAATTTGATGATCCTGTCAGTCTGTCTTCGTATAGATATGGCATGTAATATGGATGCTGGTAGGCAGTGGAGATGGAGATTGATATTACTACGCGGCAAAATGCGAATGGCATTGAACCCATTGAGGCAGGTCAAGCGGCCAAACCACGGTTTGATGCAAAATACAGTAATGATTTTCACTTTTTCATGCGGTTACAGTTCTAAACCATGCCTTTACCTCCCTTGACTCCAGGCTCCAACAGTCGCTGTCTCCGCCCCCGAACATAAAGATCTTCCATCACCACCAACTCCACCAACGCTTTTGGATGCGCCTAGCCGGATTCCCAATCAGGGGAATGAGGGTGATGTCCCCCTGAATGAATCACAAGTGGGCGGTGCTCGTGTTGAAACAGCACCAACATTATCGGTGGCAGCCTTTGGTGATATGCCAGTGTTGGTGGACGACGACAATGATAATGATGAGGACGATCTTTTTGGCAGTGGCAGTGGCAATGATCAAGAATCGGCGTCGGAAGATGCCGCTGAGACTTGTCATGCAAGTGCTACAGTATAATTATGTTCCAAGAACTTTGAATTTGAACTCTGGTCCAAGGTTTCTTTTGCTACTGTTTTTCTTTGCTTCCTTCTGATTCGGATGTTTTCTGTTTGCTCTCGCCGCTCCCCTATTTGGTTCAGGAAGAGCCAGAGGAAGAGGAAGAGGAAGAGGACGAGGAAATTGAGCAGATTCCTTGTCGGCGTCCAGCAGCTGCTCAAGCCAAGGTGAAGGCAGCAGCAAAACCAAAAGCCAAGCCGAAGGCAAAGGCAAAAACGAAAGCTAAGGCCAAGCCTAGGCAGCCTAGAGCCCCCAAAGCAAAGGCGCAAGGCAAGAGCAAAGCTCGATGTGCCGATGCAGCGGAAGCGCAACCCAAAAAGCGCCCCAGGACCAAGAAACCTGCTCCTGGCCAATCAACACTTGCGTTTACTCAGACCAGCCCTTTAACTGAACTCATGAGCACTTCATGAGTGGCTGGTATGTTCCAGGTGGCTGTAGACTGATGGGTGCTGGTCAGTGTGCTTGTATGTTCCAACATATCATATCTACAGAAATTTTGTTTTTTGATTTCAAGATATTGTCATTGATGGTCTTTACATCCATCATCTCTCCACCACAAGCACTGTTAAGCAGAGTATGTGGTGAACCCTCTGCATCAATACTAGAAGCATCTCAGCACAGCGGGAAAAATGATTGCTTGTGTTGTGCGAGCACCGCCTCTCTACCAAGCTGCTAACATGATTTTGGAACTTGACCCCAACCTCTGGCAGCTTAATTTACTTTTCGGGTTTTTTTGGACATATATTTCCATTGATAAATAAATTTGACAACATATTTTGGCTGATCTGGCGTACCAACCTCTGTTTTTTTTAAATAAAGGGCACACATGTGTTTAATTATTGATGTTCATGTGTGCCTAAGGAAACAAAGGTTGGGCCCTACACGGCTATTAATTTTGGATAAGAAAAATGACTGCCAAAATTAATAGCTCCTACATCCTACATCATGTTAATATTAATGGATGTTTAAATCATGAAAAAAACATATTATAATTTTAAAATGAGGGGATCATTCAATTAATTTCATTCTTTCATTCGCTTATTTTATGCTATATCTTATAAATCAATGACTCGCCATTTTAATTCTAATATATGGCGAGGGTCATCGGTAAGTGCATTTATTTATATATGGGCTAGAATATTGTGGTTTCGGTTTCTTTTTTTATTCTTATTGAAGGTCATTTTGTAATGGCAAACTATTCTAGCATATAAAAATAGAAAAGAAATATAATGGTGGTTCATGATTTTTATAAGTTGGTGAAGGTACAAATGATAAGGTAAAAATCATGAACCATATTAAATAAAATACACTAGCCATTGACCTCCAAATCTATTGAACATGAAAGATTTGGATGTGATCACATGTAGATACAGAAGAATTAGAAAAGACACATATTAATAGATGACAATTTTCACTCTAAGATATTCATTTAAAACAATTGCCATTAGATAAAATATATATAAATAAGAGATATTACATTTCATAAAGTAATTCCTAAAAATGAAATGGATTTATGCTTACAGGATTCTTCATTCTAATTCTATAGGTGATTGATGAGAATGAATCAGAATGAAGGGCCCATGAATTTTAATGGAGAATTACTTGATAAAATTCATGGATTTCGTATTCATTATCCATTAAATATATGAAAGAGAAATATCCAGGAGCAACCGTAAAGAAATAAAGGACATAAATTCAATAATCGGTTGCTCCCAGAACATTGATCTATTATATATATTTTATATTGCTATAGCCCCATTAATGCCCCATTATGTTAATATCTGTTTTTGTGGGCTATAGCTATAATTCTGTCATCCTTTTATGCGACTTTAAATAAGTGGATGTCATTGTTTTATTTATATATGAATGACAGGTCATGTTCTAGCATTAATATTATTCATGATGTGCCATTTAGTATTGTAGAGATTTCATTTAGTTAAATGGCACATCCAATATATGAAAGTGAATAAAAAGTTTACAACCTTAATATGCAGTTGGGCCATAATATGTTAACCGGCTTAGAGACCAGCCCAACCGCTGCATCCAAGGGCCCCAGATCCAAGAAGGGGCCCATCTGTCTCTTCCCTGTGGCACCCCCAAAATCCAAAAAAGATGACGGGGTGCCTCCACAAAGGGAAAAAGATAAAGGTACAAATATATTATCACCATTTATTTGTATATAAGAAAAGAAAGCCACATTATACAATAAATGGTGATAAGTGATAAGGAAAAAGTGAATTATTTAATGCCATTTGCTCTTTTAGGATTCATTATTTTAATATAACAAATGGCATTATAAAAGCATAAAAGAGATGATTTATCTTTCCTGGCCAGCCTAAATATAATTTCAGATTAAAATAAATAGGCTTGCCAATTAATGATTAAATAATTTATATATGATGTAACCGATGACCCGTCATCCTTTTAGCACAGTCAGTGGCCTGGCCGGTGATGTCCATGACCAAACGTGGCCGCTCCTGTTGCCAAAGTGCTGCCTTGTGGAACAGCAAGGCCTCGGCTGAAAATCCGCCGAGCGGTGTGCTAGAATCGAGCAGCCTGGCAGCTGGTGCAAGCAGAACAACATCGGTATGTTTGATGCTTTCTTGATATTAAATCCCGTAGCTGAAGTGGTGTCTAGATTAATATCGTCTAAATGCATTGCGTCTATCAGAAACTAGGAAAAAGCGCCGCAAATGGATTCACTGGAAAGTTGGGTGGATTAACTTGCTCAGATTGATCAACAAGGATGTTCTGGCAGCCTTCGCATCAAACAGCTTCAGCAGATTAATGGTCATATTCCATGCACGGTATCTTCAAAAGCAACCGCCCTCAAAAAGGCCTTCTTGCTGTGTTCTGTCTCCACCCAGTCATCTGAAACCAACTCAGACTCCTCAAACCCCACCGTGGCAGCCCCCGCCTCTCGCCAAAGGTTGAGGACACCTTTCTGCCGCACCCTGGCCACCGCGAGCTGCCTGGAGACCGAAACTCGCGTACCCGGCTTCAGCCGCAAAAAGCCTCTTGCCCTAAGAATCCGGACCCTCAAACACATAGGGTTTGGTTCGGGCCCGGACCCCTGTGAAGGTGTCGGGTCCGACCCCTGCCATGGAGAGCCCAAGGATTCTTAGGATGCCAGATCCAAATTGCTCAATCAAGCCCCCTGCGCCGCCCCCCAAGAATGGCTCTGGCTCTCCATGGGTGTATATAAAATCTCTTGCCCACCAAACTAACATGGACTGGGTTCAATCCCTCGACCGTCCGACCTCCCTCGTTCAATCTGCGCCTCTCGGACTCCCGCTCCAGGTCATGGCCGTTCTGTGCATCCAAGCGCCGCTCGCGGCGGACCTGCCAGACTCCCGATTTGGGCCACCAACGTCGTGATTGTTGGTTCGTTCAACATGAGTCCTGGGTGTTGCGAGACAAAGGTCCGAGCAGTTCCCCCTAAGGTGCCACGGGGGAGTCAGGCCTAGTTGGGCGGAGAATGGAGCTGGGCTGGGCAGCGTGCAGAACGCGAAACCAAACGGTAGACATGGACTTCAGAAGGGCCATTTTCCACCTCCTACTCATGATTGAAAGGTATCGAAACTCACCAGATTATTAACGATGTGGCTACACTAAAAAGCCAGTGAGCCAGGGAATGTCAGGGTTTAGATGGGTTTAGGGTGACACATGGTGACACGGCCTTCTTCAAAAATCCAAACATTAACAACACTGAAAAGAAACCTGGAGCCCAAAGTCCAGCACCAGGTGCAGAATATTGCAGAATTGTGGCGTCGGAAACAAGTGGACCATCATGAAGGGGTAAGGAACAATTCTAGACACCTACAGTACCCCCTTGTGAGCCACTTCCGAGCTTGCTCACCTCAAGCACTCCAAACACCGTTGGAAGAAGTCCGGCCCAGAAGTCTCTCTTTCGCCCTGGCCGCCCTGTTTCTTCAAGGCCGCTGCTTTTTCCGTTCGCTCGGACGTCCAACCCCGGTCCCCTCCCTCACCTCCCTCCCTCACTCACCTCATCCACTCACCTCGCTCACTCACCTCAGCGCTTCTCCAGTCCAGTCTCGTCGTCTTTCTCCGAGTCTTCTGCGGGCGGCGCCGCCGATGCTGGCTCCAGGCATCCTCCGCCATGATTCCGTCGACGGTTTCCCGGATCATATCGCATTGGGGAAGCCGGACATGCCCCCCCTGAGTCTTCTCAGGGCGAAGGTTCACTATGCAGGCCGTTCGCAGCCTGAAGGCAGAGCGGACGGGCGGAGGCCCATTTTTGTTCGCTCGATGGACAGGCCCTGGACCTGAAGATAAGTACTAACTACCAACATCTACCAACAATCGAGCATATATGCAAAATGGGTGTCAAATAATTAGGTTCTAGGTATACATCGATATATATATATATAACGGGACATGATCAGATATAGTGACCCAACATAGACAGATTCAAAGTGACCATTCTGAAGTCCTTAAGTGGCCTGCTAGTACAGGCCTAAGTGACCTCAAACCTGGGGATCCAAGGTGACTTTTAAGAACCAACAACATGCATTTTCTCACTTGCAAGTGCTCAGGGACCGGGGGGTACTCCTTGCTAAAGCTTGAAAAGAAAGCACCGCGGGCACCGTGACAAGCAGTGGCTCCTTCGCAAGCACCGGGGACTTACCCGGAAAATGACCCGCTGGAAGTTGGAAGATCCTTTTCCTCTGGAAACAGTAACAGGGGTGAACTATGGTGAACTCCACTTCCATGTTTGTTGCAGGGAGGGTGCATGGTGATCTCCGGTCGCCTGGAACGCCCTTCCCAGCATTTCCCAGCCGCCTTCAAGCCACTGCTGTAGCTCCGTGGAGATCTGCTCCAAGGGAACCAGCGCCTCGCAGATCCGAGGCTTCCTGGGACGATCGAACACTTGCCGATCGGTTGGAATCCTTGGACGGACTGACCATGGGCAACATGCAAGTTTCACATCAGAACAATCGTCTTTGAAGAGTCAACATCACAAGCTTTCCCCAAACCATCGCCTGGTGGAACGGCCCTCTCCTGTTGATTCATTTTGGACGGAAAAAGGTGTGGCAAATCCAGGGAGTCACATTCTTTGGCGCCCACTGATTGCCTCATGTTGCTTACATTGCGTAGATTGGTCGCTGGACACTCTATCCGGAACAAATTGGAAGCTTAACGGCGCTCCCTCTCTGTTTTTCACCAAATACCGCTTTCAACAAAAACCAAGACGCCAAGAGCCGTCATTGGTCAATTGGAGCCCATGCTTGTGCTCAAAGCGTGCCATGTGTGGCCTGAGGCTCCGCTGGCACAAGTTGGTGCAGGATGGCAAATCCGTGTGGGTTTCAATCAAATTTCTTTCAACTCAAGGACCTCATGCAGCTAAGTGCCAGACTGCAGCAAGTAGAAGCAACACTTGGGCACCTTTGGCACCAGAATTCCTCGGACAGCAACAAACTGTCCAACTTGGACTTGGCGGGCACGCATTCGCCAAGCTTGGATCCCAGTTTCCAGCAAAAAACTGAGGTGACTGTGCCACCTACTCTCTGTATGCCACTCCAGCTGGCTCATGGTTGGGCGAAGCCGCCGGGCCGCCGGGCCCTCCGGATCCCTCAAGACTGGTCCCGAGCGTAACATGGGCGTTTGGGGCAGTATGGCGGCAAGACCGGACTCCCCAAAGAAACATTCAATGGCTATCACAAGAAACTCGAGGAAACCATCTTCCTCAACCCAATTGGAGGTCATTATGGTTGATGGTGGTTGAGGTAATCGAGTTCTGTGGTTTGGATGGAAACAACAATCCTCCTCAACCAAATCTCATGGAGGTTGAGGCAATTGCAAAATGACAGAACGAGATTCTTCTGAGCTCCATGAGGCCCACACAGAATGTCATTTGTACGGGAGGTGTGCTTCTCAATTAACTGGTGAACGGACGCACACAGTCGGGACAGCCCAAACCAAGTGATCGAGCAAAACAACAAGAACTCCAAGTACTGTCAGTCATAAGGCTTCAAACAGCACCAAACTCCGCATTGCTGCGTTGTTCCAGAAAGTTTTGGATGAATTCGTCGTTCCACTGGCACTAGAACTCCATACACGCCGCTCAAGGTGTTCTCAATCAACCACGCAGCAAAATGCAGCAAGTAGAAATCCATAGAAATCCCCTATTGATCTTTACTTCTCCCAGAACTTTGAGATCGCTTCGCTCCAAAACATCCAAACCAGTCCGGTGCGTGCTCCGAGTCTTCGTCCGAGTACGGCGGGCGCCAGGTGTCGGGAGCGGGGCGCCAAAGACTCCTGAAGAAAGGTGGTGCCCACATCGCCGCGGCACCACAGTACCAAAGCACCCAGCAATCTATGGCGATGGTCGGAATGGGTCGATACTACGACACGACCCATCGGAGCGTTCTCGGAAAGAAAACACATAGCCCAACGGGCACAAGAGTCAGCGGGATTGGGAAGATCTCCAAGTACAGTTGTATGCATCCTCTCCATGCCAGGTGGGGCGAAATATACGTAAATCACTGTGGTAACAGTATGGGCAAAATGACTGTGGCTTCTATTAACTCTGGGTCTGGAACTCTGTTGCTCAGTGATCTCATCTTCGGTCTTCTTATCAACCTCACTCTGACCATCTCCGACCCACAAACAAGTGGGACCCCCCACTCTGAACTTGACCTTTCCCGACGACCTCGCATCGTTTAACTGGTCGAGGTAGCACCTTCAGCTCCAACCTTCAAATTGGGAGCAAACATGAGCAAACTCAAACCCACGCTCGCCTGTCCACCATGCCCGGGAGGGTGCGCTGCACAGAGACGCCGATGCGGCACCATCCCGGGAATGCAACAGTGCAGGAGAGGCGATTCAAGGAGAAACCTCAAGACAGTCCAAGCTCTCTGGACATGGCAACGGTTGGTCTCGTTGATGTTGTCACAAACCAAGGGTATTATATCGGAGAACATTGCCTCCTACTTTGTCCACCCACATGTGTTGGGAATTCACCCCGCAAACGAAGAGTTCATATTTTCCGGTCCTTGTACCCCCAAATTACGATCTTTGGACTGGAATCGTATGTGGGCAATGGTGGGTCTAAGCTCATGCATGCAATTCTGGCTGGCGGCGCCTGGTTGCTTTCCAGGGTGATCAATTCTCCAGCGCAACTGCTGGAAAAAAACGCTCCACAAAACGTGTGTGAATGAGTCTCTAGGAAGCCTACCAGCCAAATCCACTTTGTTGAAGTCATCTTCTCCGCCCGATGAGTCGGCGGTTCCACCCGGACTCCCTCCGCCCGGTTCCATGACTAGAGGCTAGGAGGGTCTCCGCGACCGAGGGACCTTAGACAAACACGGTCAAAACGGTGGCATAGGAATCCAAACATTTAGCACACAACAATTTTTCTGCAGGTGCACTGAGGATCTCCCACGACAGGAACTTCAACTTCAATCTCACATGCATCCCAGCTACCCCAAGCTCTTCATCCTTAGCGCCTCCATCTACACTCCCCGAAATCATCCTGGAAGTGGATGAAATGGCCCCTAGGATGACCATGTTCCTCTACAAACAGGTGATGCCGTTATGCCATCCACCCATATCCATCTAGCATCTCATTCCTCATTCCATATCAACAAAACCGCCCACTCAACAGGCGTCGACAGGACTCCGTTTCACCCGCCCCCTCCAAAAAACAACAACTCCTCTTGCTGAAGTCGAACGAAATCACCGCAAAGCATCGCAAAGCTACACCTTCCGACCACTGAAGATCTCCCATACTTACTGGCATCAGGTGTGACATGGCTTCGTTCCTTGTGGCGTCCTCCACGTTCGACCTCCGAACCCTGCCCACCCTGCCCACCCTGCCATGCGGCCGGTCGCAGAAGTTCTGCCAGTGACATCCGGCACGTAGTTGTCGCAGTCCCGACTTCACCCGGCGCGCCAAGGCGCGGTCGAAGGGCACTCCGTTGGCAGAGTAAGGCCTCGAAGGCTTGGGAAAGTGTGGGCAAGGTCGGGCGGAAGGAGAGGCAAACACTGGTCAAACATTCCTGAAGAGCTTTGAAGATCTTACAAGGTTCTGACTGCCTTGGAACCCTTGGAGCAGCTTTGAGATCTGTGGAAAAGCTGATATGCACTGAAGGCTTTGGACTGAAGCGCTGTTCTGCAACGTCTCTTGAGAACATGGAGTCCATGCAACTTGACTTCTCCAATTGGATTGCCGAGTCCGTCGCACTGGGCCCCAAACTCCAAAGGCTCGGAGGCTTCTCCCAGGATCCACCAGGGCAAAAGCCTGAGGGTGAAACTGACCAACTATGCCCAGCAGACTGACCAACTATGTCCAGCACATGAACGACCAACTATGTCCAGCCATCAGGTATAGTGGATACCAGCCAAAAGGCATTCTGCCATGCAGGGCCCATCTGTTGGATCTGGATGTTTGGATCCATTTCAACCTGTGTCCCTGGAAAATATCATGTTACCTTGATGTTGCAGCTACCTAGATGTTACCACCGGCTCATTTGAACATCGTTTCACCAATCCCCAAGAAAGCACTGAAGCAGTGCAGGGACTAGCTAGGTCCCTGTTGGTTGTTTGCCACCTAGGAGAATGCCCTTAGGCTTCGTGCCTATGACATCTCTTCTTCGCACGCATGCGAGAAGGATCAGTCCTTTTTGATCATGTCAGGATGGCAAGAGGCTAGCTAGCAGCTAGCATATAACTAGCAGCTAGGACAACATCCAAATGCATGGACACCTGACCACTAGGGCCTACTAGGGGCCATCCCCACGCAAAACAACACACAGCTGGGACATCATCGTTCTATCGCGTCCAAGCCACGCTTCGAAGCGCTCGATCTCACAGGAGCGTGCAGCGTGGAAGGTGGCTGGTACCTGACGCGCCGCCCGGCAACGCGGCAACTGGGGGGACTGGAAGGCAGAAGCACTCCCTGGAGGTCCAGTCTGACCCAGTCTGCCTGGTTCTGAAACCTCTTTGACTATACAATTACGTTGTTTGACATGATCCCTGGGGTACATAATGCGGATGCCACTGGTTGGCCAATGTGAGAACTGTAGGAACTCCCAGTTCCCACAAGGTCGGACACATCCCAAAGCCTTGGAGCTGCTCCGCTGAGAAGGGTCCACTGCTCATTTTGGGGGAGATGGAGGACCGAGCTCCGAAGTCATCAGCTGGGAAGACCATCACCCAAACACTCCATGTATGCCATACATGCCTACATTGGGGTGGTTTTGGGGGTCAACTGATTGGCATATACATGGAGTGTCTGAGTCAGCAAACCCCGTCCAAACTCAGCAGAGCTGACCATGATGTGACAGACTCACCGACTCAGCGACGGAACACATTGGAACTCACACGACCGACACGTGAGCCGGACGGCTCATCGTCTTGGGAACTTGATGGATTGGCCGCTGGAAAATGAGAGATCGGTGAAAACAGAAAATGAGTTGAGGATGTGGAGGGGGGGCCCACACGGAGCACAATCCCATGGGTTTGTCCATCTACACCTACTGAACACTCAAATCCCCCCAGCAGCCGGTGACTGGAAGCCGAGTTGCCTCCACGCAACCGAGCAAGTCCACCCCACTTGAGACAGGCAAATGGCTCTCAATCCTCTCCTGAGTCCAACTGCTTCCGGTCCAGCGGTCTGGTAGACCCCCGTCGCATGCCCATGCTGGAAGAATCTCCCACCTGGATCTCCCCAATTTTCTCCAGTTTCTCAGCCGAATGGGGTACCATCCAGGGGTACAGAGTTGGCCCAAGGATATGTTACACGTTTGGAGGAGCTTCCCACCCCACTAATGCATCAGATCAGTCCCAAACATATCTGTCTACACTCGTTGGGGTTTTGCAGGTTGGGCTTGGAAGGACGCTGTAGCAGTCCAAACCTTTCCGAAAATTGACTTGAAATTGTATATGGTCGGCTGATGTCGGCTGTATTGAAAAGGAAACTGACCCCAGCCACAAAAACACATTGCAAATTTAGAGAAAGGAGTGAAACAGCTGCAAAACTGGAGATGATCACAAGGCAGGGGGGTTGATGGTAGTTGATGCTAAGGATTGCTAAGGAGGCAGGAGGAGTCAGGAACAGCCAAGTCTCCAAAATCTCAGGTCCTTCAAGCCCTTCCGCCTTCTTCGGCAGTCGCATCCCCAGCACATTTGCCTTGGCCGGGCCCCTCTGAGGTGGCGAAGCCCAGGTCACTCGCGGTGCAGGTCTGGGTTCCTGTGGGTGGAGCGGGAAGGCGCGCAAGGAGGCTGCCACCAACTGCCTCAGAGATGCGGTGCCTCACCACTTTCCACCTCACCACTCACCACCAAGAAACACCTCGTGTTGGGCCTTAGGGAGGGCCGAAATACATGAAGTCTAAACAACCGACGTCTGCCCGTGGGCTGCCGACGTCTGTTGGCCCGTGGGCTGTTCTTTTTCTTGCCCGTGGGCGGGAACGTATGTTACAGTACATGACAGTCCGTCCTGGCGTGATGTTGCAACTGTTGACACATGTTCCCTTCAGGATGCGAACGGGAGAGCGTTCGCAACATGGAATCCGAAGCTGCGGAGAATGGCATATGGATGCCACAAGCATCCGACCCAATTGCATTCCTAGCCACCCTGGCAGTGCAGTATGTCTTGTATGTGTTGCATTTCTGCACGATCGGAACGAATGAAACACTTCCATTCGCTTTTGAACGTTTGACGAAGCCACTTTTCGTCTCACACGAGTTGCACAAAGTCTGTGAATGAGTCATTCCAAAACATGCCCAAGTTAGATTTTGCGCACTTTTTTTGCGGGGTGGTTTGGGATCTGTTTTGACAAAACTGTGCCCATATCGACTGCGTTTCATTCCTTAAATTCAGTAGGAAAGATCATGTCTTTATACATCTTTCTACAGTACCAGTCATTTCTTGAGTTGGATTCAAAAGCGCCCACGGAACAGCATCTTCTGGATCAGCTCTTTATTTTTTTTTCCGTTGATCAAATGTTTCTGTGCGTTTGATCCAACTGGCATGAATTGGAATTTGCTGGTGTTTGCGCGGGTTTGCGGTGAGAAACCCAAAAGTATATATAAAAACATATTGAACTTTAGATGGTCCATAGGCTAATGTATGAATCAATGCAACATTAGTAGATTGAATATGTTCAACTGGCAGGTGGCCCAGGCAAAGATCACTTTGACTTGGATCACGGCCAAAAGACACAAAACACATGTCCCCTTGGCATTTCTCTTTGCAGGACCTGCTCTAAAATGTCAAGTCCCTTTTTGCAGGGTTAGCAGTTCAAGGCGGATGAAAGTGAGAGATCCATTACTTCCACTAGATCCGCAGGTCTGATACCGAGGGTTGGTCCGAAAAAACAACATGGTCCAGTTCGTTCTCTTGAAACGGTCCGGCCTTACGTCTGGACGCGTTCCTCGCCTTTTTTCTTCACATTGATGATCTTGATTGATCTTGTTTTCCAAGTCCAAGTCGCTCTTCCCATCCATCAGGCTTCTCCACGTACGACACCACCAACGCCACTTGCAGCCGCGACTCCCGGCGCTCTGCGGACGGGGCCGGGGCCAGTGTCGAGGCGCAGGCGGAAGATGTGCTGCGGAGGTGCCGGAAGAGGGCGTTCCTGGACTCAGTCAGAACTGGCCACTTTGTAGTACCCAAACGCGACCCTGGACCCGAACCTATGGAGGGGTCGGACCCGAATCCTTTGGAGGGGTCTGGGGTCGAACCTGCGTGTGAATAGCTGGAGCCCTTAAGAGCCGGTTGCTCCGGTGCGTGCCCCCATGTCTGGTAGCTGTGCTCGTAGCTATGCAGCTTGGGCGGTGTGTGGGCAGAACTTGGTGAATCACAGGTTATGAGCCCAAAATGTGGCCATTGCGCGGCTTTGATGTCCGCTGCGATGCTTCTTGCATGTGTGGTGAAGCTGGGAGATTCAGGGCCTGTTCGACAAAGAAGTTGGAGGGTGAGTCTTTGCCTCAAAAAGCGGGGGATGGTGTGGTCTCAGAAAGCGGGGGGCCGGTGCACTTCATCAGCGAGAAGTTTGGCATGAAGGTTGGTGAGGCGCCTAACAGTTGGTGCGGTGGCTCAAGCCCAACGGCCTCTGCCAGATTGCACACATTGCACTCTGCATGCTTGAGCTGCAGAGTGGGGGGAGTGCGTGTGAATAGCTGGAGCCCTTAAGAGCCGGTTGCCCCGGTGCGTGCCCCCATGTCTGGTAGCTGTGCTCATAGCTATGCAGCTTGGGCGGTGTGTGGGCAGAACTTGGTGAATCACAGAACCAATCCCTAGGTTTTGTGGGACCAAGGGCTGTTTGTCTGGGTGCAAAGCTAGTAGGGGAAGTAGCTTCTGGGAGATCCGAATCTGGAGTTTGGAGTCTCACTCTGCCACTCTTGGCACATCATTGGACCTATGAGAAAGGGCCACGAGTGGAACGAAGAAGTGGAACAAGCTACGCTTCAGAAAGCCGTTCTGCATCCGGTGGGACTTTGTTCATTTTCGGCTTGGGAGTGCCAAAACTTGGAGGATGAGTGTCCGATGGCCAAAAAAACAGGTGGTCCACCATCAACCACTCGGCAAAATCCAAAGCCAGCGCGAACCACCACCCGATGCCTCGACTGGAACTGTTGCCCACACTTCGCGCAGCACTGCCCACTGAGTGCCGGTGTAGCAAAGGACATAGGCACTGCTCGACGCATGGCATCCAAACGACTCTCAGAGGCATCCAGCGAGGGCCAGCGGAAGAAGGCACCATGGATACTTTGCCTGGGTGAAAGTAGGGCTTGATCATCCTAAAACATCCTAAAACTATAATATTCGTTGAAAGAAGCCGACATGGAAACAACTACTTGAGGACAGTGGGGACGAAAAGCGAGGGGTCTGGAATCTGGAAGGATCAATCGCACACCAAGGGAGGGCGGCAAAGTTTTGTGCCACGAGCGCAAAGTGCTGCTGCAGCACTGGGCCGCTCCATTTTGGCATGCTTTCTCACAAGGACCAGGGAAGAATCGAATGGACTCTTTTAATTCCTTTTGCAGGGGGGGAGGCCCCCATTCCCTTAGACGTTTCAATCTTTCCATTGAAATATCAATTCTTTTGCGAGGGAGGGGGTTGTAATTGAAGGAATCACTAAAAAGGGATAGCCTCCCTTTGATTGAAAGAATCAATTGGTGCACTGAACCTTTCAATGTTTAGCCTCACCATATGTCGTAAACAACAACTTCCGCTGAGCTCCTTCTGAGCTGCTTTCGTCCACATGGACAAAGACAAAATAAAAACACCATGCACTTGGATCGACTTGATGCTCAATGCAGGTCTCATCCACGGACTCGTGTGCTTTCTGGATGTCTTTGGGGTAGGTTTACAATTTATATCAATTTATACGTATCCGTATCACAATAATTTTCCTTAGAGAGCAATGAAGCGGATGGCGCACGGAGAAAAACACTCAGGCAATCTGGAGTTTGTGACAAGCACCCAGCAACTCATCAAAATCATCTCATCGGGACGAATTCATTCCCACTCCTGTCCTTCTTGGGTTTCTTCCAGGTTAAATCCCTTCACTGATCCACCGACGGGCGCTGTGCAGGAAAAGCACATGTACTCCTCCAGTAATGTCAATCGCTGATCCTCTGAGAACTCCAACATGGCCACTTGCACAAAGCACACGTGCTTCTCCTTCTCGGGGACACCTGGGAGAACGGGCAACAACGAGTGCTCCGCACGATCCGCACAAGGCCTTCGATGGCGGATCCCCAAGTGGCTACATGTGGCTACCAACCTCATCCAAGGCCTGGCAAACAGCATGAAGCTCCACACAAACCACTTGTTAGGCCAACTTTTGGACTGCAGTTTTGGTTGTATCCTCAACTTGGACCTGGACAGCCTCTCATTGATGATGCCAAAAAAAACAGCAACTTGGTGGGGGCCGGCCTCGACAGTCGTATTTAATTTGTTAAACAGTGCAAGCAGCAAAATTAAGGCTCTCATCATAGCAACACCCAAGTAGTATACAGTACCTTGAGCTTTCCCTTCAGGCACTGACGCTATTTTCCAGAAGAGGTTTGACTGCTTGACAAACCGTGTTTGTTCGCGATCGTCTTTCACATGTTAGCCTGCATCTGCCAATTGATCCAAACAATTTGTTTGAGACCTAGGACTGGCCCATCCACATTGTAAAAGTGGTATGCAAGGAGCAGCTGACTGACCAAAACAACAACGGCATAAAACAGTCCGAACGGCTGATCTTGGAATCATCTTCGGGAATGCAGCAACCCATCTCTTTGTCATGCGCCGTATAGGGACAAGACCCTCCACCCGTTCAACCCGCTAAGGCTGCAAGAACACTCGGCGCGGCACATCTTTTTGGTATGGCTTTGTAGGGCTATAGAGAAATTCAATCCCGAAGGCACGGTAACGGATGTTGTCAAACTCTGCCAGCCACTTCACTGTGGCTTTCCTCATCTCAAAGTCGAAGATCATGTCGCCCACCACATGACGAAACTGGATGTTGGACTGCCTCGCACACGACTCTCGAGCACTTTCTTGGATTGGACTTCAATCCAGGACAGGAGCGTGCTGTTTCTCGTACTTCGAATGGTATTGTACGAGCAAGGGTGTGGCATTGTCGTGTACTAAAATACGGGTGTGACTCGACCAGTGGATTTATTGTTGAATGCATGAGTGCAAAATTTGTGGTTCTATTTCTTCTCCCGTGCGTATAGGGATATGCCAAAAAAGGCCCAGGCGAAACACGTCGAAATACGGCGACTGCAAGAATACCAGGGCGAGCTCTGCCCAAGAATCATTGATTAAATCCTTGCCTCTCACTTCGCATCTCACAATGTGTTGCACGCCAAGGCGCTTCCCTACCACTTGTGTCTCCCAGTAGTGCTTGATCGCCTGCGGTTGGGGCAAAACTGGAGGTCGCCTGCGGACATGCCATCATTACCCCTTTCACCTCAACGACCTGTTACAAGATTGAAGGACAATTTAACAAATTGTTTGTTCCTTCTCTTGCAATGTGTTTGAAGGTTCGGATGCTGTGTATGTATATACATATATGATGGGCGATCCCATGAACATAAACATGGACTCAGTGGATCTTGGTCCTTGGTGGTAACCTTGTGCTCATGGCATAACCTTGGTCGTCTCCTTGGTCTTCATTTCCCGTATCCTTGACTCCAAAAGACCTACCCCACGGCACGGCGGTTCTGGAATGTGTCATCCGCAGCCGTCCACAGCCTCTGGTCCACGAAAGGTGCTGCGCGTATCGAAGATCCGCTCGACGTAAACGCCCTCCGGTGCAAAAAGCGCCGCGATCCTCTCGCGAAGTGGCGAACAACGCGGAGTTCACATCCTGATCCAAACTTACTCGTACCCAAGTGCTACCTTCGTTTCGAAGGTGCTTGGGGTGGGTGCCAGGAGGTCCAAATACCTAGTGAGGTACTTGGAGCCATAGGGATAATAGTTAGTTGATTGAGAGTCGATGGCACAATCCCCGGAAGGGGATCCATATGGACCCCATAGTGGACCCCATCTACAAGACATCTTTGGGTTCGTGCCATCTGAGACTGTGAAACCATTATGAACCTGTCTAACTCGGGTTTGCCAACCGAAGTGGAGCCTCAATCAGATTCATGGCAGGATGAGCCATTAATTTCATGGGTGAACAACCTACTTCCTTGTGACTTATTGCATCAATCATGCGTAGATTCTAGGTTCCCTGTCGGAAAGGTTGTGCTAGTCAGGATCTCCGTGTTGCCTCCCAGTGGGAGGCATTCTTAGAAATCTCCCACCACCACGCTGCAGGTGACTAATGGGAAATAATATGAAATAATAAATTTACCCACAATTCCCTATGTAGCTCTCATTATGGTTGCTTGGGGTCCGAAATGATCCGCATGCAAGGATCATTTAACAACTTCATGACAAAGCTCTCGGGTCTCAAAAAATGTCCCACAAAAAGGTTCTGGGAGCAAAACCTATGAAAGTGTTGCTCAGCCATCCTAGCCTATACTACAGTACTTGGTATATCCTACCGAATCCTAGCCCCACTTGATGGTAAGTACACATTGTTCCTGCTCTGCGAACCCGTCCTCGCTGGATCTTGGCTAACCCACGCGGCTCCATATTCCTCCACCACTTGGCAAACCACTTCGCGAGTGAACTCTGCACCACGCGCGACACGCCGCGTCCAGGCGCGACCATGGCACTTCTTGGCCTGGCATGGGGCCCAGCCAGTGGGGAGAGTTTCAGTGATTTGGTCACTTGCAGAATCAGTCTTGTATAACTAATCAGCTTGGTCTGAAAAACGCGCTGAGGCGTTTAATGACTTTAGTGTGTGTGTGTGTGTGTCAGTTTTTCCCTCTCCTCAGCGGAGTTATGTAAAGACTATATATGTAGGCATACTCTATAATTACAACATTGTTGTCTGTCCTAGTCTGTGCAAGTCCTTATCAAGCTCAAGTTACTTGGTTACTATTGAAGGCTCAACGGAGGGTGTGTGGAGAAGGGGGGTCAGCCAAAATCGCTTATACCAAGTTGGTACATCAAAAATACATTCTACAAAGTTTTATGAAGGTTTCTGGGATTTTGTTGCAGTCAATTTTCCTACTGGCCCACCATTCCACGAAACGTCCACGAATAGCCCGGGTTCCACGAATGTCCCGCGCCTTTCACGATGTTAGTAGAATAGGTGTTTGCAAAATTCTTTCTGTGCAGTACCCTTCCGTTTGCCTCTGAACTATGATGTAATTCTGCGTTCTTACTGAATTTCATGTCTTCCATTTTCCTTTCCCAGCATTTTCCAGCTGCTCCGCTGCTCACACCTGGCCTCCCCGTCCTTGCGCCCCCTTGCGGCGCGTGTGGCGGGCCCCAGCCATGCACAGCTCAGCACCACGGCCGTCGCGTGGCGACCGCGACGCCACGCAAGCGCTGTCCGCGGCGGTTCAACGCCGCCCGGGCCGCGGGGTGGATGCTGCTGCGGGCGCAAGGCGACAGATCGCTGCATCGAGGCAGTTTGAGAAGCAAAAGCTGTGTTTCTTGTTTTGTCTGGTTGTTCGGTGTTTGGTGTTTTGGGGTGTTGGGGTGCGGGCTTCTGAAATTTGGAGCTGCGGCATTACTATGGACGTGGTGCAAACGAGCGAGACAAACGGGTTGGGAGAGTCAATGACCATGGCTGGAGGATGACCATGGCAGTGCACTGGAGCATGCAGCACGTCATGACATGCCTGGTCGGCACATGCAGTCAACTCTCAGCCAGGCTTGGGCCAAAAAGGCCCTCCTTCTTTGGGCTTCAGCATCTGTCAACCTTGTCCCTGATTCATCCGATTCCGTGAACCCGGTGATGGAAGTCACAACACGTGACCCGCACTGGTCGCTCCGTCTTGTCGGGGTGGTGGAAGTCCGTGGCTGGTCGCTCAGCTCGGCCCCAACGCCCTCTGCGTGCCGTGCCTTCTTTCACGATTCAACCGACAGAGCATGGGTCTTCCCGGGGGCATGTGGGCCAAAGGAGCCCCATAGGGTAGGGGGGGAAGTGAAAAGTGGACGACTGGGTGGCATGCTGCTGGACGACTGGGTGCTTTCTTTGCACCGGTCCCGCAGAGCCTTTTTTTCTTTCAACCTTCGTTCACTGGGCGACCTGTACCGCGGAAAACGAAGAAACGCAAACCCAAACCTTTGTAAAACAACCTTCAATTCTGGGCAACAGTAGTCCGCTTCCATTTTTGGTTTGGCGGCTACAGTGGTACTCTGAGTAGATGGCACAATCCCAAAAATGTGGTTTATAAGGACCCCCATACTGTACTGTAAATATAAAAGGTTTGCGCCATCTACTCTGAAACCACTGGGCATCGCAGTTCTTTCACCGTTCCCATCATGTTTTGATGCTCCCAGCCAGCACCTCCTGCGTGCTGTGGTGCCACCAGCGCAAGGCAGTGGCTTGTGCTCGACGACTGCTGGAGGCCTCCACTTGGATTGGTCCCCTTCAGCCTCAACTCATGACACCAAATCTGTCAGGACCCAAGACATCGGGAAAAAGAAACATATGGGGGCAAAGAACGCAAAGAACAATGAGCCGATCTGCCAAACCAAATCCATGGACAAGGAGGGTTATTAATCAAGAGTCTACATTAACCATCTAAAACCTGCACTGGAGTCGGTCGACCTCCAGCAGCTTGGGGTCCCATTGCAAGGCGCACGGCGGCGCGGAATGCGCCAGGCGGGCGAAGAGATCTCTGGTGCCCCGTAGGGCGAAGTTCTATTGGCATGGTGGAACTGCTTCAAGCGTGTGAACTATCAATGAAATTCCATAAAGAGCTGCTTCCGGGCTAGGGGTCACCTGGCTGGATATCTCCACACTACGTAAACAGGTCTCCAGACAGGGCGCCCCGACAGGAAGCGCTAGGTATATAGCTTGTAAAATGGATGCCCTGTTCTTAGGAGGGCTCCACACATCTCAAGGACCCCAAAGCTCCAATCTCCCACGGGCTCCGAGCTCGAGCGCCTGCATCCGATCGCCGTGGGTGCTCGCCATCTGCTGTCGCGTCTTACGATCTCGCAAATACCTCCAATTGACAGCGTGATGGGAAGCCATGCGCCGCATCTGACCACCCCGAACACAGGACCCATCAGGACCATCACTTGCGACTTAGACCATCTCTTGGGTCGAAGCAAGTACTCTCATGGATATCCGTCGAATCACGCCCCTTGACAGTCTTTTCATGCACTCTTCGCCTCTTAGGTGGGCCTATCCTTGGAAATGGGGCCCACTCTGAGAGAGGACAAAGGGCCCATCCTTGATGGCAATGGGCCTACTCTGTGCTCCAAGTGACGTCGCCCACCGCCGGAAGGTCGGCGCCAGGGTCCAACGGCCCAGCCTGCCACGGAAAGGCCTTCCCGGCCCGGCGGGTGCCGCGAAAAGAGACCGCATCCAGAAACATGAAAAACTCACAAAAATGTTCAAATCGTTGACCTGGTGTTGTAGTCAAAAGTCCATTGTAAAACAATGGTGGTTGGAGTCCTAGGGTTTGGGGAACTGCTGCAAACCCATACACTTCTGAGCAGTTTGGGGGAGGCTAGCTAGCGAGCTCCATCTCCAGCCTCTCCAAGCCGCGTTGCACTTCTCCCGAGCGGTGCTTAAATAGCCGCCATCGGGCCTGGCAGCATTCTGCAGTCACCGGAAGGAGACAGCAAAAGCCTGGTGAGTTGGAACTCACGAACAACAAATATGAGTCATCGGGATTCAGTGGGTTCATCAGTGGGATTCAATGGGTTCAATCATCCCACGTAAAGGTTGAACATAAGTGACAATTAATGTCCATAACCACCACGTGGAGGCGTCTGTTTCTGGCGTTGGAAGCGCCGTTTGTTGGAACTGGGTCAGCTCCATGGTGCTGTGGGAGATCCTTAAAGCCCAACACCTTGCTACCAGGAGTCATAAAGGGGTTGCTTTTAGTCTCTAAACCCAGACCATCAATCCA